GGATGTAAAAAGGAAATTGGAATGGCCTTTGATATAGGAAGAGTCCAAGAAGGCGCGGAGCTTCGAATTAAACTCAAGAAAATCCGAGGAGTGTCTGAAGGGTATATAAAAGAAAAAATGAAACAAGAAGCCAAAAGAGAGAGTGAGAAAATTGATTCAAAGAAATATGAAAGTGTTCAAACAGTTAAGAAAAATCCGTTGTGTATTGAAGATTTTGAAATTCTTGATATTGGACCAAATGGGGGGATGAAAAAAGAAAGTAAAGAAGACGTAAAAGGATTTTCTCCATTCGCATAAAAAGGTGTTTCTTAATTGTTTCAAGTGAATTTCGTTTAATATAAAATATAATATTGTTTATTATAATATATAGTATATCAATTGTTATATTATATAATAAAATAATAATAAAAAAATAATAAAATAAATATTTATATTATATAATAAAAAGTTATTATATAATACTATTTATTAATATACTAGTAAATAGTTTTTAATAACTAGAACAATAACTAATCAATATAATTCTTTAAGAAGAGTAATTATTCCTTCTATTGATATTCTCTCCATTGAATTCTGTGTCCAACTCTTTTCAATTACATTTCGATATTTTTGTTCGACTGTACATATGTAATGCGGTCGATTTCCAGATACTATTTCATCTGCTATTTTCCACGGATATTTGTATTCATTTTGAGGAAAAGCATCTCCCCAAATGAATGTCTCGTACATAGTTATAGCAAAAGAGTAGACATCTGCCGGTTTCTTGTAATGCTCCTTCTTAAGAACCTCAGGAGCCATGTACACTGGAGTTCCGATACCTTTTGTGAATGTCATGTTTGTCATCATCATGTTGATATTTCTACTTGATCCAAAATCGGTCAACTTAGCATTAACTTGTTGATTCAATTCCAATGAAAAGACGAGTATGTTGTCTGGTTTGATATCTCTGTGTAATATCCCGTTCTCATGCAAATACAATATTCCTTTTCCTGCATCCAACAGCATTTTGACACGTATTTTGTTTGATATTTCATCACTCTTCTTGTGTTTGATCAAGTCCTGTAAAGATCCATATTCTGCAAATTCGGTGACCATACAAATGTGATTTGGTATAAACACGGCGCCGTAGAAATGTACTATATACTCACTTCTAAATTTGTCTAACATATTCACCTCTTTTTCAAACTCAACCATTCGACTTCTTAAGTTTAATGAAACTTCTTTCATCTTTTTAATTGCAACCGTATTCCCTCTGAATGTACCTTTATATACAACACCAAATGATCCTTCGCCAAGTTTCTTCTCTTCTATCAACTCGTCATAATCAAGTTTAGAAGATAATTTGGAAGAGACATAATACTTTATCTCTTTCACAATTTGTTTGTCTCCAATAAAAGAATTTGCCACTACCACCAAATTTTCGGAGATTTTTGTGGTGCATTTTAATGTGACAAAAATTTCAAATTCACATGCAAATTGTGATTTCAAAATTATAAACTTTGGTTCAATGTCAATTGTAATTTTCTCATTTTCACTTTTAGTTGTGAGTTGCACTTTCATGTTGTGTTTTGAAGTGTTACCAACACAAAAGAGTTCGCGTGTTTTCTTATCCACATCCACGTCTTCTCCTTCGTTGAAAATTATTTCCTTTTTATTCACAACAGTGTCATTTCCTAATGTGACAAATTGTATATTAGACCTTTTCATTTCAAACATGCACGTCTCCGCATTTATTTCATTTTCTTTCAATTTAAAAATCACACATTTTATTATAAAAACAGCCACTATAAATATCGCAAGGATGAAAATTATAATAATAACGATTATTATAAAAATCACCCACCACGCCGCTTTACTCTCACAGAACATGCCAGTTGCACTTGGACTATGCCAAAATTCACATTTCTCACATTTTGAATTATCAATTTTTAAACATTTTGATATTAAAGAGAGTTGAAGACATTTGCCATTTGAAAGAATTTTGTCCGAATCACAAGATATGCAGATATTATATGAAGAGCACTTAGAACAATTTGAAGAACATTGTGCACACTCATTTGTGTTTATGATATAATAGCCATCTTCACACTCTGAACAGCCTTTTTGTGTGATTGGCACATTGCAATGATCGATATTACTTTTTGACATACAATCACCCGTTGATGTTTTGTAATAAGAGGTATTGCATGTGACACATGTTGTTTCAGAGATACACGTATCACATTTTAATGGGCATAATTCACACTCAAGTCCAATTCGATAATACCCATCTTTGCACTGCGAACACCCAGAAGATGCCTCAAGAAACTTCACACATTTATCCATCAATTCTTTATTTGATATACATTTGTGATTTTTAGATAAATAAAAATCCTTTTTACATGTTATACACGTGGAGTTGGTTATAGCACAATTGTCACATTCTTCTCCACATTTGTGACATTGTCCGTTTGATAGATAATATGTGTCTTTACACTTGATACACCCAAAGGGATTATTTAATAAACAATTTTGATATACAGTGTTTGTCATATTTAATAAGGAACAATAAGTTATTAATGTCTTATTTATATCATCAAAATAAGTAACTATGTAATACCCATTATCACATTCGACACATTTGCCATTCAAATGATATAAACAATTATCAATTTTTGTTACACATTTACCATTTAAATCAATTACTTGATTGTTATTAATACATTCAGTAGAAACACATAAATCATTTTCTTCTATATAATAATTGTCTCGACACTCTAAAATATAATTTTTGTTACAAACTTTTGAATTTGAATATTTTAAAGAGCAATTAATACAATTTTGTGCTTCAAGATAATATGAATCATCACACGAAATTATCGAATTTTGAATAACATAAGAAAGACCAATTTGAATGTTGTACTCAACAGTTTCACATGAAAAAGTCGTTTTATTAAAAAAGTGATTATATTCACATAATACACATTTTTCATTGTTAAAAAAATTATTTGAATTTTGATCTTGTTCTGTTAAAGTGTCACACAACTCACAATTTTCATTTCCACATTTTACATCACAACTTCCTCTTATTACTCCATTCGAACATTTTAAACACAAATTTCCATCGGATATGCTACAATTGTCATTTTTAATGCAAGTTCCTCTTTGATTTATATAACCACTTTTACACATAATACAGTTATTATATGAACCTACTATACACGAAGTAGTTGATGTGAGACATTCGCCATTTTCTGATAATAAAAATCCACTTTTGCATAACACGCATTTGTTTTTTAAATTAAATATATCACAGTCTGGAGTTATATATTGACATGTGTTATTTATTAAATAATAATTGCTATCACATTCAATACAAACCCGCCGAGTCTTATTAACAGAAAATAAAATACAATTCGCCATATCTGAATATAAAATTTTTGTGTTTGTAACATGAAAGAAACTTTCAGTATAAGAATTTATCACGGAAATTGTATTAATTTGCTCGACATTTTTACCAATTTCAAAAAATGAATTTCCAGAAAATGTGAAATTCGAAATAGTACCATTAAAATCGACTTTAAGTTGCTTTACACTATTGTTGAAACTTAAAATGTAACTTGAATTGTGTTTGCAAAGGAACAAATTTGACGACGAATTTGTGAAAAAGTCGATTGTGTCAATGAAAGCAGTTAAAGCTGTAAACCTTGCAGTTCCAAAAGAAAACGAGTAACGTGAAAATGTCAAAAATCCGGTTATAGTGCTTTTTACATTATCAGAAATAACAAATTCCTTCACTGAATTGACATTTATAATATCAGTGTTATGTTCTACGACGACACTTGTGTTCATCATCATTGATTTTTTAAAATCGAATTTAGAAAGTGTTGATATCAATTTTAAAGTGCAAATAGTACCATCATTTGATTCACAAGGACAATGTGGATATTCAAATGGATATTTTTCTGTTTGGTTTACAATATACTCTGTTTTGTAACTAGAACTTATTAATTTACAAACTACATTTTTATCTAAAGTAACATACTTTGGACAAAATCTGTGTAACTTTTTGTTAGATAAAAGGTATAAAGACCCGCTATTTAGAGTTAGTGGAAAATCAGTGGAATTATATGAACCAAATTTATACTCTCCACTATTTAAAACTTCAGAATTTCGGATTGAAAACACATCAAAACACTTGTTATTGGTTGTTGGGTTAACTATATTAATTGGAAAGAAACTAGTAACAGTTTTAAAAAGTTGAATACTTGAGCTGTTCCAGACGACTATTCTCGGAAGGTTTAATTGTGGATTTTCAATGTTGATGTCATTTGCAAAGTAAAAATTTGCATTGATATTTAAACGTGCATTATTGGATATGTTCAGTGCAATTTGAGTGAGAAATGTATTTTCTGTAGTCAATATACAATTTTTGGATATCTCAAAATATCTGACTACCATTTTAAAACTGCCAGAAGAAGAAAAGGTCAATGTATTAGCGACATTAATTATATAAAAAGTGAGTTGCTGTTCGAACTTAAAATCGTATGGAAATAAATAAATGGAAGTCGGCGTAGAACTTGTTGAACATTTTGAATTATTAAATCCGTCTGCCCAATTGTTACCATTGGCGACACAGGTGATCTGTGAAAATGCTGAGTGTAAAAGACAAAGAAATAAACATGAGATAATCATATCAAACTGATGAAAACACTGTTCTAAAGTTTTCAAGTGGGGAAGAAAAATCCAATGGATTTTTTTTCATTAAAAATATTGGGTTTGGCGTTTTTTGTTAACATGTGATTTTTTTTATTTGGTATTCAAAATGATTGTTTTATAATTAAAACGAACTAAAAATTGGATTTATTTGAACATCAATTCACATATTTGGGAAACACAAATTACTGAATGGAATATTTTTCATATTCGCCGTTATTGTAATCGTTTATTGATGTTAAATTGGTAATGTCGGTCATATTAAAAATAACCGTTTTATCTTCTTTATGTAATCAACAACAGATTTATAACAATTTAATTTAAAAAGCTTTTAGTCTTAAAAACGTTAGTTTCATAATTTTTAGAAATGACATTTTCGCTATTTCTTTTTGGTTCTGTTGTGTTATTTTTAGTTCAATTGATTACTAATGAAACATTTTAAATAATACCAATAATAAATTATTAAATTAAAAAGCATTATTATTATAATTATAGTATATTTTATTATATTATAACAATAATAATTTTATTAGTTTTTAATTTGAATAAAAAGCAAATAGTTTATTAACAAAAACTATTAACAATAGAAAAATTATTTAGTAATAATTGTTAATAATATAGTTGTATATATTAAAAATATATATTATATGGTAAATTTAAATATAAACTATAATAAAACAATATTTATATTATGAAACTAAAAATAATGTAATTATATGTTAATTGTAAATTTACCATATACAATTTAAAAACATTTGTTATTAAAAAACATAATAAATAATAAAGCAACTTTGAAATAAAAAGTGAAGGATATCGGTACTTACAATAATAAAAAACTAACATTTTTACCTATTTTTTTCCAAAGTCAATATCTTTTCTTCCGATAAAAATGAGAAAAAAAGTCTCAATACTTCAATCTTTAATAAACTAATAATTTTATTATATGTCTGTTCATATGGAGCTTCCATTTTTGCTTCGTGTAGTATTAGAATTTACTATGAAGGAGGAGCTTATTAACTTTATGTGTATCAATCACAAATGTGAAGATGTCATTCGCTCTCTTAAAATCACACCGAAATTCATTAATATCCCGTCGTATCGATGGTTCTTTACTCACTTTACTCCCGACACATTAGACTGCCACTGTGTTGATGCGTCGTTTCAATCATACTTAGAACAAGTCAAATGCATTCGGTCGCCAACACTCGTCTTCTTTGCAAAGGACAAACTCCTCACCGACGAGTTTGCCTCGAAGTTCTTCCCCAAAATCACACGAATTGTATTATACTCGTCGGAGAACAGAGCATCACCAAATATCGAGTATATCAAAGAGGTGAATGCAATGGTTTTAAAGCACTCCCACGACTTCCAGAAGCTCGTTCACTTGTCCGGGGACATCAAAACGATCACCGAATTTCTTGAAAGTTACACAGAAAATGGAAAGGAGAAATACATCAAATTGCCTTCGATCATTGTTTTAAATTCACTGCGAGGATATTCAATACAAACAAATTACGAAGTGCTGTCGTACATTAAGAGGATAGAAGTCTGCGTCCCCGACAATGGTGTCTCGCAGATCTTTCTCATCTCCTTTAGACAAGCGGAGAATGAAAACGACTTCGTTGATTTCAGAAGGGTGCAGTATTACTATAGAAACGTCCACAGTCGGATGTGCACAAAATGGAGCGACCACTTATATTGCGAGAAAGGTGTCGTGAACGTGGAAGGACAAGTTAATGGAAATGCGATCAATCGGACTATTGAAAACGTGTATCCCTATACAGTAGAGATGAGATATGTCAACACAATTGATCCCAAATTTGAGTTGTGGAGTGTGCCGATGTGTATACAAGACTTCGTATTAATTAATAGTCGAGTTGACGTCCCCGCTGTGTTTCCAATTACAATGCCGGGCATCAAGACACTCAAATTATTCGAAGTCGATAATTTCATCTTCTCCACGAACTTCGAGAACGTCGAGACAGTCGTTTTAAAGAAGTGCATACGTGTCACCTTTGATGAAAAAACACAATTTGAGAAATTGAGAGTGATGTGGATAGAAAGTTGCACGCTTATATCATTGAAAGGATACACAAAAACGGAATTAGAACGAGTTACTATAAAGGCGACGCGTTCGGTAGATATAGAGAAGCGCAACGACAACTTGAAAAACATCGACTTGATCAATATCATTGATATCAAAATTATGAGTGCGAATGCGTCGTGTGATGTGTATATAGAGAACGGGAAAGCAATTCAAATTAGTCAACGTGTTTTTGATCACGAAATCACTGTTTTTGAGTCGATACCGGACACCAACTACAATCGAAATGAGCGTGGATATAAAATGAGGAGATTCATACCAATGTCCTTGGAGTCAACTGTCGATCATAATGTGATCAGTCGATTTGATGACTACGATCCGATATATAAAGGAATTGATATGGTCACCTCGCGCTTTTTCTCAAGTAGACTCGACACATCTGCGCTTGAAATCAAGGTGTTAAGGAATAATAATTCTTCCTTATTAGATTGGGAGTACATCGAAACAGTCACTGCGCCGGATGGCTTACAGAGCCCAAATTTTTTAATTCAAAAAGTGAAAGGAGTGAGGTATTACGAAGTTAATGTCACGGGAGTTTCGATCATGTCGATTGGTGTGATCAATCGAGTGCGATACGACGAGTTTATGGGGTGCCATGTGGGGTGGTATAATAACTCGATAGGGTATCACAGTGATGACGGGAAAGTGCATTCAACGTTACTCACAAGAGACGAACGTGATGATGAATTTTATGCATATGGGAATGATATAGGCTTTGTTAATGTAGTTGGGTGTGGGTATATACAAAAGACTAAAGAAGTCTTTTTCACGATCAACGGAAATCTGTTGGGGAAGTACAAAATCGATTTTGATGAGTTGTCTGCAGCTATTGCGTTTGATGTCACGAAACCAATTACTGTCAATTACGGGAATCTCCCATTCGCTTTTGATGTGAAAAAGATGGAAGTCATTGATGAAGTGAAAGACGAGAATGAGGATTATATAAATTATAATATAAATTATAACTATTCTGAAAGTGACTCTTTGTCGATGAGTGATGACGACTAATTTTAAAAGTACTTTTGTTTGGTCGTTGAGTTGAAAAAATCATATGAGGAACTTTTAACCCTCTTAATTACCTCAAATTGATTATTAAAGTATACATTTAAAATATTATAGAAGAATTAAATTAGAGTTAACTAAATGATATATATAAATATTAGGTGTGTATAAAATCATTAAATGTATGAAAAATTTACATCTATTGATATTATTATTATATACATATATTATAATTATAATTATGTTTTTAATTATAATAATTATTCATAATAACTCTGTTGATGTATATTATATTGCGTTGTAATGGTAAGATTTAACACGAAATAACTAAAGTGTTTTTTCAAAAAATGGTTTAATTACTTCAAATACTCTTTAATAATTTATAACACTATTATATAAAATATTTTGATTATTACTTTTTGATGGATAGAAGTATGTATTAATAAATAAAAAAGTATTTAATAATAAATAAACGTAACATTTGTTGTTAAACATAACAACAAATATAACGTTGTTGTGTATAACTCTTGTATTTCATATTAACTTTATATTGCTCAATGTTAATTATTAAATCAATTATCATCGAGATACTTTTGCAACATTTCCACAACAACTTCTATTTTCGTTCGACTTGTTGTATCTTGTTGCCAACAACTAGATATAATATCAAACAAATAAAGGGGAATACAGTCGATTTTCTTAAGTCGTTTTCCAGATGAAATAAATTCGGCTATTTTCCATGGAAACTTGAATTCGTCTTGTGGATATGCTTTTTCCCATGATATAGTTTCATACATAGTTATACTCAATGAAAACACATCTGCACTTTTTGTGTATTTCTTTTGTTTGAGAACCTCAGGTGCCATATAGACTGGAGTTCCAATACCTTTTGTGAATGTCATGTTAGTCATCAGTAAATTCACATTTCTCGCACTTCCAAAATCGGTCAACTTTGCGTTTACTTTCTGATTTAAATCCAAAGAAAAGACAAGAATGTTGTCTGGTTTGATGTCTCTGTGTAATATCCCGTTCTCGTGTAAATACGATATTCCCTTTGCTGCATCCAACAGCATTTTGACACGCAACTTCATGTCAACTTCATCACTCTTTTTGTGTTTCATCAAGTCCTGTAAACTTCCATATTCTGCAAATTCAGAAACCATGCATATGTGATTTGTTATAAATACGGCGCCGTAGAAATGTATAATATACTCATTTCTGAACTTGTCTAACATACTCACTTCCTTCTCAAACTCGTCACATTTATCTTTGTCATCATTACTGTTTTTCATCTTTTTAATTGCAACACTATTCCCTCTGAATGTGCCTTTGAAAACAACACCAAATGAGCCTTCACCAAGTTTCTTCTCTTCTATCAATTCGTCATAATCAAGTTTGGTGCTGTTTTCAGTGGCACACATAAATTTAAAATTGTTAGTACACACCTCACCACTGTTCAGTTTAAGTGTGATAATGACGATATTGTCATTTAAATTCAAAGTACAATGCGGCGTTATAAATATTTCAAATTCGCTAGCAAACCCACTTTTCAAATTCACCAATTTTGGTTCAGTTCGAATTGAATATTTTTCACAGTTTTCTTTTGTGGTGATTTGTACTTTCATATTACTTTTTGATTTGTTTCCAACACAAAGAAGTGAACGGCTTTCTTTGTCAACTAAAAGTAGTTTTTCATCTTCATTAAAATTTAACGATTTCATATTGACCATCACATCACCCGATAGTATCACCATTTCTATATTCGATCGTTTCATATCAAACACGCAAATCTTTTGTTCTTCGATTTTTCTTTTACGACGCTGAATTATAATAACTGTTATTACTATAATTATAATAATAATTATTATTAATATTGAGACGACACTCACTGGTAGACCAATTATGAGTCCATATCTCACTATTTTGTCACAAGAAAGTTTATCACTACTTAATTCGTGATTTTCAGAACATTTTGTACAGACGTTGTTTATCGATGAAATGCAATTTGGAATAATTGAAAAGTCATAACAGAAGTCATTCATCAAAATGTTGTTTTCACTACAATTTGTACAAATATCAATTTTTGAACATTCATTGCACTTTTCATGACACTTTTCGCATGTGTTGTCTTTGTTGTAATACCCCCTTTCACATACAATACACCCATCAACAGTGACATTTAAACAATGAAGTAACTCGGATTGTGGATTACAATACCATGTCGAGTTTTGTGGCGTTCGATAATAACTTTCATTGCATGATATACAATTTCCATTATTTGTACATGTAGAACACGATATATCACACGGCTCACAAGTTTTGCCATCAGATGATCGCATGTATCCATCTTTACAAACAACACAGCCAGTGTAGTCAGGATTCATCAAATCACATAATTTAAATATGTCATTGATAGCTGTGCATTGACCACCATTTGATATGTATGAATACTGATCACATGACGTACAATACGTTTTATTGTGACAATTAATACATGGATATTCACATTCAATGCATTCACCCTTTGAATAATAATAACCATCTGAACACCTTTGACACCCTTTGGGACTTTTCTTGTCACAATTCGATTCAAATAAATTGTCTGTTTCTTCTGTTTTTATGTTTTGCTTAATTCTTTCTTGTATATAATTTTTGTCTGTTATTAAATCACTCGTTGTATTGTTATTGATATCAGTTGTGTTATCTGTGCTATTTGTAACATTTGAAGTCGAATTGCTCAATAACACACATCCACCATTTTCCAAATAAAACTCCGCTTCGCATTCAAAACAACTTTCATTTGCAACATCAACATAAATACAATTTGAATAATTCTCATTTTTGTTTTTACATTCATTGACATCTTTATAAAATCCTTCACCGCAAGATATGCAAATAACATCATGATTTAAGCATTTTATGTCATCAAAAGATACACACCGACCTTCACTCATCATTTTTGAATTGCACTTAATACAATACTCTTTGTTTTGTTTTAAACATTCATTGTTATTTGTTATGCAACTTCCATATGCCAAATGTTGATCTGAATTACATTTGACGCATTGACTATGTCGAATTGCTATACATGTTAAATCACTAATACAAACATTGTCATCTGATAATAGAGTATTTGTATTACAAACATAGTCTATTTTCTTCCCATTAAACATTTGACACTTTTTGGACGCTCCACAGTTTGTTATAACTCCACTCTCGTTTGAATAATAAAGATCATTAGCTGTGTAACAATATCCGTTTTGTGCCACGTCACAATTATCAATTTTACCACAGCCAGTTTCTTTGTCACAGAAATAACACTTGGAATTACTTCCATTCAAATAATTCTTCTGATATTTACAATCTGCTTCGATATCACATTTTCCATTTAAAGAAATCACGTTTGTGCTGCACTTGTCACACGACTTTGTTGAGTATTTTAAGCACTTTGTGTCATTATTTTGTTCACATTTATAATTTATCAAATAACGAGTTTCATCACAGCCGAAACAGTTGTTATCGACTTGATTTGTACATCCTTCGTTATTTTCAATTTTATTTGCTGTTGATGAATTGTAATGTGATGTTGTTGTATAAGCAAGTAAACAAGAAATATTATCATCAGAAAGGTAATACGGCTCAAAACACTTTGTGCACTTTTGTATATTTCTTTCATATTCACAAATCTGGCATTTTGGAATAACTTCGTAACAATTCACACACTCTTTTGTGGTACTTTTTATTGTACCAGTTTCACATTTTGAACAATTGTTGTTTATAATTATAAAATTGTCACTGCAACTCATACACACACTTTCACTTTGGGAACATTTGTCGCAATTTGTGTGTATCTCATGACAATCAAGACATTCTTTATCTTTTAAAAAGTAGCCAAACTCACATTGTTTACAAATCCTTTCACTTTCAGTTTCTAATGTTGAGCACATCGCACAATTTCCATTTAAAGAACATGAAATACAAATGGAATCAACCTCCTTTTGTCCAGATGGACAAATCGAACAGTCTCCAGTTGTAGATACACAATATGTGCAATTTGTCGGGCAGTTTTCACAGACATCATTTCCTCCTTTTGAAAATGTTTTATCAGAACATTTTGTGCACTTCCCATCATTAAAACCGTATCCAGCTTGACATGTTAAACATTGACCAGTCATATAATCACATGTTTGACAACTGACGTCGCATTCATAACAAAATGTCTTTCCAGTCTCATTCTGGAATGTACCGTCAAGACACGTTTCACATTTTGAAATGACTTCTTTTGTTCCAACTCCACAAATCTGACAATTTTTATCAACTAATTCGTATCCAAAAATACATAAAGTACAATCACCAGTGGAAGGATTACAACCATTGCACTTCGAGTCACATGAACTACATTTTGATGATTGTTGATAAGAAAATGTATTTTCTGAGCAATATTTACACGTCGAAGAGGCGACATCGGAGTATTTACCTGATGGGCAAATTTCACATCTATTTGTGGTTTGATTTGCATAAAACCCTGCATCACAGCCTTTACATTGATAATCAATTAAAATATATCCAGCAACACACTTACAATTACCAGTTGTTTTATCACATATATTAAGACAATTCGAATCACAGTTTTGACACGTAGAGGCGCCCATTTCTTTTGAAAATGTTCCATCTGTGCACTCAATACAAGAAGTGGAGTTTTGGTTTGAAAACGTTCCCAACCCACACAAAGTACAGATTCCATTTAATGAAAATGTTCCGGATGGACACATTTCACACTTTCCGTTCTTCAAAACGCTTCCCTGATAACAAGTAAGACAGTCTCCGTTTGTATTATCACAACTCTTGCATGAAGAATTACATGGTAAACAAACAACACTTCCATATGATGAAGTGTAAGTCATTTCTGGACATGTTGTACATTTTATTGCTGCCATTGTTGACGAATAAGTACCCAATTTACAACTCAAACATTTCCCTTCAAAAAGATAATTCCCTACAAAACATAAAGTGCAATTTCCACTTTTACTATCACACTTATTACAAGTGCTATTGCATTCGATACATGCCGAATATCCTTCATTGGAATAAAAACCACTTGCACATGCTGTACAACCGGGACTTTTTTCTAGAGAAAAGTACCCCGCAGCACACAAAGGGCATTGATTTAAATTGGTCAAATACCTACCAGCAGGGCAAGAAGTACATTTACCGGTTGTCACAGAACAAGTTAAACACGTAGAATTACATTTGGTACAACTCGATGAATTTGTAAGTGAATAGGTGCCATCTGGACAATCCAAACAGGCAACACTATTTTGAATTGAATATGTTCCTGCCCAACATGCTGGACAAACACTTTGTTTGTTTTTGTTGTTATAAGTGCCGGCGGGACAGTCAATGCAACTTGGAGATTTCGAAGGTGCATACGTGCCAACTCCACACTCGATACATCCTGATGATCCTAAAGTGGAGTAAGTCCCAAGTGGACAATCTGTGCATGTATTAGTACCACCAAGTGAATATGTTCCCGCAGCACATTTTGTGCAAGTCGCATCTCCACTATTGGAAAAATACCCAGCAGAACATTTATAACATGAAGATGAACCTTCATTTGATGAATACCCATTTGAACATTTATTACAAATTGAATAACCTTTACCCGAATAAGATCCAGCTGGACAAGCAGTACATGTTGCGTCTCCACCAGTTGAGAAATAGCCGGCTGGACATATTGTGCATAATTGATCACCAGCATTGGAGTAATATCCATTACTACACTTTATGCAAGTAGCGTTCGATGTATCTGGTTTTGTTCCAGCAGGGCATATTGTACAAGACGGCGACCCAACTACCGATACACTCCCAGTCTCACACATTATGCATGCTGAAGATCCTTCATTTGAATAAGAACCCTGACCACAATTTGAACAACCTGAAGCGCCTGCATTTGAATAAGTACCAGCTGGACAAATAGTGCAAGTGGCGTTTCCGCTCTTTGAAAAATATCCAGCCGGACATATTGTGCATTTTTTATCACCAGAATTTGAATAGTAACCATCAGTACAATTTGTACAAGAAGTTTTATAATAATTTGGTTTTGTACCAGCTGGACATATCGTACACGATGAAGACCCGGCAATAGATACATATCCACTCTCACACATTGTGCATGCTGTAGCTCCTTCATTTGAGTAATAACCCTGACTACATCGTGTGCAGATTGAGGCACCTTCTGCGGAATATGTCCCAGCTGGACAAGCACTACAAGTTGCATTCCCACTTTTTGAGTAAAATCCGGCTGGACATATTGTGCAAGTTTGATCACCAGAATTGGAATAGTAACCATCAGTACAATTTGTACAAGCTGAACTTCTTACATTTGACGTCTGACCAGCTGGACAGTTTGTACAAATAGTAGCACCACTCAAAGAAAAGGTGCCAGCAGAACACATTTTACATTCAGAGGTACCCACTTCATCCGAATAATAACCCTGACTACAATTCTTGCAAGAAGACGAACGAGCTGTCGAGTAAGTTCCCTTCCCGCACAACGTGCAATTTGATGAAAACTGTAATGAATAAGAACCTGCTTGACACTCCAGACAAACAGAAGCTGCTCTTACTGAGTAATAACCCACAGAACAAAGAGTGCAACTTCCCGATTTTTCTGTAGACATGGTGCCAGCTGGACAGTCAGAACATCCCGTAGAACCAGAAATTGAAAATGTTCCAGCAGGACAATTGGTGCAAGTAATTGAACCTTCATTTTGACTGTATTTACCTTTTGCACAAGGTGTACAAGAAGAATTTCCTGAATTTGATTTATAAGTCCCCGAAGAACAGGGCAAACATTCAGAGTTTAATGGGTAAGTACCTGCTGCACAATAAGTCTGAGAAAATGAACGTAAAGGAAATAATAACCAAAACAGAGTAACTACTAAATGAAATTGCGAGCAAATGATATGTAATATCATCAAGCTTTCTTTGGTTGATATTTTGGAATTTAAAAAATAAAAAACTTTTCATGATGTAAATAAAAACATCAAATAATGCATGTTTTTCAATATTAAAATAACATTAATATTTCTTTATTTTATTCGAAATAATAATCGTAAAAATTCTTTTATATATATATTGATATGAAAGAAATTTAACAATTATAACAATATACTAATCATAATTGTATAATTTAATAATTTTTATATCTTCTAGTATCTTGTTATTTTGAATGTTTTAAAAGTTAAATGTATTTTGACTAACTTAAATAAATTTAAAAAATTCAAAAATAAATATTCCAATTATAACTATAATTTAAATTGTTTTTCAACTATTGTTTTATTATTTTTCATAAGACAACAAACATTAGTAAACTCGTGTGTTTTAATAACACCACAACTATTATTGTGTGTTATAATTAATTATTAAAAGTTGTTAAATTCACAAAGAGACAAATTGATAATATACTATATTTATAATAATTATAGTTGTTTCTTATTTATCAACATTCAAATAAAACTATTTTTTTGCTTAACAAATTTATTAACTCAATTTGACATCACAAAACTGTCTGTTGCTGTTTCAAAACAGAAAATATATTTTATAGAAGCGACTTTACCGCCATTAATCCAGACTGTTCCATGGGATTGGGTTGGCAAATATGATTGCAACAAACAAATTGTGAACGTGAAAATTCCGTTTGATCGTTTCCATCAATGGAAAAGTGGGCAGCCGCTCCCACTTGTTTTTGTCTCACAAAACAACAACACCATTCAACTCAATGTGGCGTGTTCACACTGTTTTGCAGATGGAAGAACAATAGAAGGTATCTACCGCATCGTCGCACATTGTTTAAACACTTCTGTAACGTTGCCAGCGAGTGTTACCCTTCCTTCATTTTCACAACGAGAGCTCTTCCCATCACTTCCTGATGAAGTCGCCCTTTCACCATGTCCAAAGCTTAAAGACCTTCCCAGTGGGCCAAGAGTGTTACCACAAGAAGAGAAAGTTGTTTATTCGATGACTTCAGATTACCTCCAATATTCATATCCCGAAATATCAAAATATTGTCATACAAATCGTGTTGGAGTGCAAGCGATATTGATGTGTGCTTATCAGAGGGGCTTAAGAAAATTCAACAACATCACTGATGAGACTCAAATTGTCATTCAAGCGCCAATCGACTCAAGAAAGAGCGTTTTTGCATCACAAGAAATGCAGAGGCGAGAGTTGCTGTCTGGGTCAGCTGCTGTTCTTTTGTTTGTGAAAGGGAAGGAAAGTGTGTTGGACGAAATTGTTGAGTGCAATGAGAAGATGAGAGAGGCACAAACAACTTCAGAGAGTGCTGCTCGCGTGACTTATTACTCGAGTAAAATAGACGAGAAGAGTGGCGAGTTGAAGAGTCAATACTTCAGCTATCCAAGTGACACCCCACTGATTGGAATGTCAAATGTTGGGTGCTATACACACGTGAATAATCCCAGACTGTATTGTGTGAGTGAGTTTAACAAATTGATATCTCCAATTGTGTATAGTTACAAGGATGGTAATATACTGAATGTATTGGTTGCACGATCAGACCCAATGCCACACGATTTTATGAGCTGCTTTTATGAAGAAGCTGACAAAGTGTTCAACGAAATTGGGTCAAAAAGAATTTAGAATTATTATTTTTGTTGTTTTTGAATTGGATTTAAACTCAAAATATGTTATTTTGTTATGTGTGTAACATAAAAATAACAATAAACAAATATTACTTCTTTTTCACTTTTGTTTTATTTGGGAAGGCGTGTTGTCCAACAACTTTGATAGACTTTGGTATCACAACTTCAAGCAAATTGTAACACTTCCCAAAAGCACTCACACCAATAAATGTGACACTTCTTGGTATTTGCACACTTGAAAGGGACGCACACCCGTTGAAGCTGTTGTTGCCAATTCGATTGATACAGTCAGGAATAACAACACTGTCAAGCGATGAACACTCATAGAAACACCAGTCGGGTATCTCATTCACCCAATCCAACACATTCACTTCTGACAGTGAAGTACACGCACAAAATACGGAAATGCCGATTGTCGATATATTTCCACAGAAAATGATACTTTTGAGTGCCTCGCAGTGCCTAAACGCAACACTTTCAACAATCGAAATTGTGCTTGGAATGGCAATTTTTGTGAGGGAAATGCAATTTTCAAAAGTACTTGGTGCAATGCGACTGACACTTGTTGGAAGTGTAACTTCTCTCAAGCGTTTACATCCACTGAAACAGAACGAGTCGAGTTGTGTGACTGAGTGTGGAATGTTAATACAAGAAAAGTCGCGATTTCCTCCAAATGCGGTTTTTGCAATGAAAGTCACACATGTTGGGATGTCAATAAGTGGACATTCCACACCACTTTGTCTTTCTTTTATCGTTTTCATGAAATGTGGATTTTTAATTGTTGTAAGATCAATATTGGGAGTGCAATAACACGAATAGTCAGTCACTTGGAACGCCTTGTATCTTGCATTACCCAACACAAACCCAAACATTTTTGTCATCCCACAAACCACTTTGTCTCCAAATTTTGTCACGTCAGCTGGAATGTCAATTGTGAGTGCACGACACCCATCAAAGCAGTTGCTGATAGAAGAGACCCTGTGTGGTATTTTGATGTTGACAAGACACTCACAGCCATTGAAGCAGCTGTACCCAATTGTGACTAAATTGTGTGACAATGAAACGGCACTCAGACGCTTACACCCCTCAAAGACGGAATTACACAACGAAGTCACGTTGTTTGAAATGACGATATTTTGGAGTGTTGTGTTTTTCATGAAGCAAAAGTTTTCAAAAGAACACAACGTGTTTGTTATTTTATCATCAAAATGCACAGAATCGTCTTTAAAAAGACCAACGTTTTTATAGACAACATTTTTGGTGTTGTTTGTGAGAAAAGTGCTTAACGACACTTTGAACCAAACAATTATTTGAAAGAAATTGTGTTTTGTGGTAGTGTTTGATATTTTACACCCAGCAACATTCTGACCAAAAGTCTCTGCGTTGCATGACCAGATGTGGAGTGTTTCTATTCGTTCAAAATGTTTTATGTCAGCAAGTCTGAGTGGAATTGGGTTGAAGTGGAATTTTGATGTGTTGTCTTTGAACTTGGTGGAGACGGTGGAAAATACAAAGTAGTCCACAAGACGAGTGAAGTACTTTGAGACTATCATCCCATGGAATGCGTCGAGTCTTGCCATCCAATTCGTGTTCTTTTGAGTTCTTTTTTGAGTTAAAAAATTGAACTATGAAGTTTAAAACAACACAAAGGTGGAATTTGTAAATTAAATCAATCAAACAAAAAGAAAAGAATTGTAAAATATAAAGTGTTAAATAAACAAATAAAAATGGTTTAGTTTCTCACATGAAGAAATTCATAGTTCTCTGTTCAAGTCGAGCATTTTGCTGTATCGACGCATTTCTGTTGATTTGCGACACGACTTGTTGCTGTGGCGCAATTGCACCACTCATTGGCATTGCAGTTGGTTCTGCTCGTCTCATCATTGGTGACATTCCAAACGCACATCCGGGTGCTGCCGGTGGAGGTGGTGGGCAACTGCTTAATGGTGGTAGTGCGCCACCCAATGGAATAGTTCTGGGACAACAACCAGGTGGTGGTGGGCATGGTGCAAAAGATGGAATATGAGGTGTTGGTAATCCACAACGCGCGAACATTGCGATGGGAGCCAAGACTCTCCCACCAAATCCGTCTTTAAAAGTGACCGCAATGTCACTTTCTTTGACCATTTCAGTTCTGAGTTGCTTCAAGTTTTCACACGTCAAGAAGATGGAAGGAACGTCTTTCAGTTCGTCTTTGAAGATCGACTCGATCTCAACAGAAGCAATTTGTCGTCCGTCAGTCTGCTTCTTGACTTCTTCTTTGACCTTTTCAGCCTTCTCGTTTGGTGGGAGTGCTGCAAAATCGGGACTTTTTGCCAACTCTGCTTTGACGTCTTCGAATATCTTCTTCATTTGAATCTCCTCGATGGCGCCGTTTGTGATCAAATCGCCCAACACACTTGCAGAGGAGAGTGCAGCGTATTGCCCGCCAGTGAGTTGTGATGTTGCTCTCATCAGTGTTCTGAAATATGGGACACTGAGTGGCTCAGCACCAACAGAATAGATGACAATGTCCTTCTTCATGCACTCTCGAAGCACTTCAATGAAGTCTTTACCACACGGACACCCATCTGGAAATCCATCACCACAACACCCAAACCCATGTGGTGGCGCATCTGCTATCCAAACCAACACTTTCGACGCGTTTTGGCGATACGCCAATTTGGTCACTTCATACAACCCACAGGATACAGACTCGGGGGTGTCTCCACCGCCTTGTGCTTGCATCTGATTGACTGCAGTTTTGATTGTTTTCATCGAAGAAGTGAATTGAGTCACTCGTGTTGCAAACGTGTCGTCTTGTGGGGGGTGGTCGCGGTACTCCACCAACGCAAATTGGACATCACATTTCTCTTTTTGAGTGATTGTCGTGATGATCGACTCAATGCTCTGTTGTGCAGCATGGAGGTACGACGACATGGAGCCAGTCGTGTCACACAAAAACACCAAATCTAACTCAGACATTTCTTTGTTTTTTGAGTTAAAACGTTGCTTATATAGCAACTTTGGTTAGACATATATCAAATACTTCACACTATTTTATTTTAATTACTTTTTATTAATAAAAATATTATAAATAATAGTAATGTGGATTTCCCGTCTTTTGGTGTGAAATAATACCAAACTAACATCATAACAAAACAACATTCACAACATAACAAAGACGTTGTGATTTTTATTTGTAATTTCAATAAAAATATTAAATGTTCAAAAATGAGAAATAAATAAGACCATCATTTGTACAACACACAAATAATATAAAAGTGAAGAAGAAGTTGATTAAAGTTTCTTGAGGTACTCGCAGATTCCCTCTTGGCATGGCTTGACGGTGTCTTTACCAGGCATCCAGTTGCATGGGCACATTTCTCCATGTTCGTCTGAGAAGTTGATAGCTTCGATGATTCTCTTGATCTCGTCAGTGCTTCTTCCAAACCCTTTTCCGTTCATTTCCATGAATCGAATGATTTGGTTCTTGTCGATGATGACGCACCCTCTTCTGCAGATGGCTTCGCATGGATTGAACATCCCATACATCATCGAGACTTTGTGTGTGATATCAGAGACAAGTCCTATCTTACTTCCACCAAGTCCGCCTTTCTCGCGTGGAGCATTTGCCCACGCCTTGTGCGAATACGCAGAGTCGACTGAGACGCCGACAATCACGACTTCTGGCATCTCTTGCGCCAATTTGCCAAACCCAAGAATTTCAGTTGGGCAGATGTACGTCCAGTCGTGCGGGTAGAAGACCAACACAACAGTCTTTCCTTTGTGCTTCTCTAACTCAAACTCAATGACTGCATCACAGTTGGGGCAATATTCGGGCGCTTTGAAGAGTGGTGCTGGTTCATCGACAGCAACACGTGGTATCTGCTTCAGAAACTCCATGTATGCCGCCTTGACAGGACAACACGGTTCTTGCTGGCAACACGCCTTTTGTTGACAACACGTTTTCTGCTCCTCTTTTGGAGCTTCTGGCTTTTGGCAAGTCTTCATTGGGCAACTCATTGTGGTGTGAGAAACAAGTTTCAGCCGCTTTATAAGGTGTTTGATATTCACAAAATTGTGGAGAGGCGCTGAGACAATTCAACCACTTCTAATGATGTATAGTTCATTTTAATATCATTATAGTTCATTTGATTTTAGAACAGTTTTCGCAGATCAAAACAACAGAACACAACAATTCTGGTCATTCATTTTTTTAAATAAAGATTTGAATGTGGGAAAATAGTGAGATCTCATTATTTAAGGTGGTGAACTATTTGAGGTTTTCTGTGTTTGATCATATAGATTCTTTCATACCAGAATCAAAATGTTCATACCACTTTGCTTGTTTTAAAACGAATTAATAATCACAAATATAATACTCACTATAACTTACTTTTTATGGAAATTTCTTTTCATAATTTTCGTTTTAGTTGTGTTGTATTTTTGATGACATGTTTGAATAAGATGTTGCTTCAGTCATTCAACATAATGATAAATACAATTTATTAATCATAAATCAATATATGGATTATTTAAAATATTATAGAAACAATATAACAAATATGTAACAATTGTTTGAAAAGATATTCCTTTGTGAAAAAAATGTTAAGTTGAATCAATTAATAAAACATCAATCCTTATTATTAATCACCAATTTGATATCCATCACACTTGGACTTACACACATGAAAATAAACATTACATAAAGACGTAAATGAATAGTATTGAAACATGATATAGCTTAAACACGAACCACAACAATAGTTATAAATAAAAACAACTTCCAATGAATTAAATGTTTGTTAATACAATTGATACAAAGAAAAATTGTATTTCAAATTAAAATAAATTTGATTCGTTTATTGACATGGTACAGTAGAAATCACAATAATGGTACTTCTAAAGAGTGGCATTTTTAGACTGAAACCGAAAATATAATTCTTTATCGTGGTATTTAAGGTTTGGTTGGCTAAATATGCCCGTTCTTGATAGAACAAAATCACCACACCATCCCGCCTTTGGGAGGTTTTATTGCATGTGATAAATTTATTTTATTTAACGATGTATTACAATTATTATTTTTTGATAATTTTTATTTCTTTAAATTTGTTTTTCATTGTAATATTATTAATTTCAAATATACACACCATTATATTATATATTTTGTTATCGACATAAATTGTTTATTTTTAACATTATTCACAATACAATATAAAAACACACAAATAACAAAGACTTTAATTATTTATATCTTGACTTGATCTTAAGACAAATTATATCATCTTAAATATAATAAATTTGATACAGTTGCAATAATAGCTAATATCAAAACTGTTTGAATATAACATCAATAAAATCCAGATTGAATTGTTTGAAATTCTGATAAACTTGTTATTAAATGTCAAATCAAAAGAAATCTCAACAATATATATATATTTATTTAGAAATGAGTTGATTCAATAACAGGTTTTACAAAATGATATATTATCAGATATAATTAAGTTGTAATTTGTATATATCAAGTTCGAAAAGTGTTCTAACAAATACAGTTAATGTTATATCAATCGATATATTCAATATGAAAATTCTTAGCAACTTTTTCAAAGGCACCCTTTTGTATTTCTATTGATCTTTTCATGTTCTTTATCACTTTGAGGTTGTAACAATTCACAAACGCACTGTTGTATATCTTCTTCACGTTTTGACCCATGACAACGACATTGACATTGCTATCAACCAACAACACATCACCCAGAATGGTGACAGCTTCGGGAACAGTGAATACTCTGTTTTCATCCAAAAAGTTGCTGTTATGCCAATACAGTGTGACATCCCCTTCAAATTTGAACGATTTGTTCAAAATATTGTAAACAGTGTAGTCGATGTTCCCATTGAAAGTTGAGTCTGTCGGTGGGTCTGTAAATACAATGTTGCTCAACATGTCGCAGTGATAGAAGAGTTTTCTGTTTACGATGTTTGCATCAAGAAATGTGACTGATCTGAGGGCGTGACATTTGCTGAAATAGTGGACTGCGTTTGGACTCAGACTGATTTCTCTGATGTGTGGGTGTGTAAATATCGACAACTTGATGGCATCTCCCTTTGGCAACACAAGTTTTGTGAGACACGTACAGCTTGTGATAGTCTGCACTCCGATACGTGTGATGCCCTCAGGTATCACAATCTCTTCAATATTAAACTTCTGGAAGTTAACAAACGGGGAGATTGCCTTCAGTTTGTTGAAATTGTGTGGGATGACACCTTTCCACATTTCAAAGTCCTCTTTAGACAAGTAGTATTCGTCGACATCAAGAACCGCCTTATCGATCATCTCTTTCATCCAGCACGCTGCCTTGCCGTGAATTGTGTTGGTCTTGTAACACGATATATTCTTGAGTGTTTTGTAGTCATACAAGTTGTTGATTTGTATGTTGTCGTTTGTTGTGATTGCTGTGATCCGCGTCATATTCTGTTGCTCTCCAAAAAACTGAACAAACGACAAATCGAGTCGTGTCAAATCGCTGTTTTCAAATGCGTTTGTTTCAATTGATGTGACTGTGCTTGCAATGTTCATACCGGAAATGCCCCTCTTGTAATTGAAGGCATAACTGCAAATTTCGTCCGATATGAAGTCGAGTCCAAACCCGTTTGCAACGTCTTTTCTTGTTGTGACTGTTTTGTGTTGTATTCCAGAAAATGCTTTTGATGAAGACGCAGTCACAATGAAGTCAACGCATTTGACGTTTGGTGCTGTGACATTTTGAATTGAAGTCACCAAATTGAATGCACTTTTTGCAGTTTTTCTCAGTCGTGTAGTAAACGTGATTGCACTCAAACTGTCGCAGTCCGCAAAGCAATTTTGACCCAAAACACAAACATTCTTCAGATCAATTGCTTTGAGGCGAATACACAACATAAAACAGCAATCTGGAATTTCAACCAAATTGGTTGAAAGTGTGATGGATGACAGCTGTGTGTTATGATAAAAACAACGCGCATCAAACTTGATGATGTTGGAGCAATCAAAAGACGCTGGAATCTCCACGTTGTTTGGAACGACTTTCAAGACAGTTGCGTGTTTGAATGACAGTATATCGTGTTTGTTTGTGTATGAAAAGAATACACGTGGACATATCATTCGACGCGTTTTGAACATCTCCATGTATTGCAGAACAGACATTTCGATGTGGACATAGTACTGGTAGTAATCCTTCATATACAAGTCGCTGTTTTTATAGATGTGGAGTGTCTCCACATTTGGGAAGTGTTTCGCTGTTTTTCTTGTCAGAGGAATCGGGTTGTAATGGAACATCTCTGGTATCTCGGTGAACTTTCTGTTGACCATAACAAGATTAACAAAGTCACCAATGTCGTTGAAGTATTTTGAAACAATCATCATTGAGTAACGGTCGAGTCGTCGTGTCATCTTTGATTATTTGATTATCATTTCAAATTTCTTAACAATGCAAATTTTATGAAGTTTGAAAAACATTACTAAAATTAATTTTTGAAGTATTAAAATAATTCCGTTGTAAAAAAATATACATGTTGTGTGATTAATTGTGATTGAACTGCATTTGATGATATAATAAAGTTAAAGTATAATTGTTATTATCAAATGGGATTTGATATATTATTGTATTATGAATTTTATTATATTTAATTGTTATATTATAGTACAATAATTTAAATTATATTATTATACTACAAATAACTATCGTTTTTAATTCATAAATAATATACTATAAAAATATTATAATTGAACAATAACAGAAACCATATTATTTCAAACAACCATGTATTATATTATTTAGTAATCATATAATATCGTATAGTTTAAACTATAAATAATAAAAATCAAAGAACTTGTTATATAAGAAGATGTTTCATAACTCAAAAAGATATACAAACAATGCAGGGAGTCAACCAAAATGGCTACAGCCAATTGCCGCCAATGGTCCCACCACCAACCTATGTCCAACCGACTGTGGTTCAACCAGTCTATGTTGCAGCACCACCACCACAACAATATATTAACGGCGTTTATCCACAACAATACTCGGAACAACCAATCTTTGTTGGACAAGCACAAACAACACAACCACAGAACGACAGTGCACAAAGTCTCACAATTTGTTTGTTCATCTGTGGATTCTTCTTTGTGTTGTTGTGGCCATTTGCTTTCATCGCTTCGCGTAAATCAAGAAACCAATCGACGAGAAATCTTGGGACTTCGGCACTCATCGCGTTCTTCATATACGTCCTCATCATCACAATCACTTTCCCAATCATTTTTGCTTAATCGTTGATTCTTCTTGTTTACTCGTTTCATTTTTTTGTTTGTGAATAAAATTTTTATTTTGTTTGTGTGTTGGATTATCATCCAACCCAATAATTGGGTTGGATAATATATATATAAATATATAAAATACGTTTAAAGTGTTGGTTTTTATAATAAAATTAATTAAGTGTTTAATATCTTTTTTTTATTTTTAATTGTTTTTTTGTTTGTTTTATTTGGTATTTGTAACAGCCACAATGTTCTGTAAAAATATGCCTAATATATGTCAAAATTTAAAGTAAAATAATCTGGACATATCCTGAACAATTACAATGTGAAAATAAGTAAACAATTTGTGATTTATAACATAAAAACGAAATGAGTTTTTTTTCTTTCCAAGATCTTATTTGTTAAATATTAGTTAATTATTCCCGTCACTCCTCCCCTAGTCACGAGAAAAAAAATATTAAAAATGTTATAGTTTTTTTATAATTACAATAAACTATTTTATTATAAAAACTTTCTATCCAAAACAAGTGATGTTTGTCAAGAACGAAATTAATAAAAAACTATATTAAAACCATACACTGTATAAATCATAATAAAAAACAAAAACTTCATAACAAATCCGTCATTGTTTTCTAATCTATTTGTATACTATAATTAATTTATAATAAAAACCATAAGTCTGATTTAGTTTCATTTCACATCTTTAGATGGTATAAAAAGTCAACTAACGAACTAGTTTCAAATACCATTGAATGTCAATTGATACAACACAAGAGATGTTCCAAGAGCTCTCCCGCCAAGTTCAAGAATGCATGATGTATTACAACAACGCGCTTTCTCAACGAGATAGTCGCATTGAGCAACTGGAAGAAGAGGTCAAAGTCCTCAAACTTGAGATCACACAAATCAAAACACAGCTCAACACCACAGCAGTCCCACAAACTCCACTCCCACCCTCTTCTAGAGTCCCAAATTTTGTTAATTTGACTGAAAACTCCGAACGCGAGAGTCAAGCATTGGCAACGATTATGCAGGGGTGGTGTGCTGATGAAGAACTTCGAAAGGAGTTGCCTTATTCCTATTCACAGATCTTAAGTCAACTTCGTAAGACAGAAAAACACCTCCAATTTACTCCCCAGTCCATCACTCTATTGGGGTCCACTGTTATCAAAGACGATCTCTTCACCAAAAATACTGTTGGGAAACAGTCCTTCTCTCCTGTGTTAAATTGGACGGATACCAATTACATTGGAGTTGAACGCGAAGACAGCATCGTCCACTTGAAGATGTGTAATAAATATTACTTTGAGGTCCAACTCAGACATATTAATAACCCAAACCCAATCCTCTTTAATACTCCAATAGTCAAAGATTTGATTGTCTCGATTGGAGTGTGCGACCATAGACTCGTTCAAAATTCACACAGCATCTGCACTAACCATGTCGGGTGGCAACCGGGGTGCATCGGAATGCACTCAGACGACGGAAATCTGTTTAACATGGCCGGTGCTGGAAATATGTTGACGGGACCATTTGGCGAAAATGACGTGATGGGATGCGGTTTTCTCATTAACAAAAAGATGGTGTTCTTCACAAGAAATGGAAGTTTCCTCTGCGCTGTCCCATACAACAGAAAGACTATAATCCCAACTTTCTGCATGGAAGGAAGTGGAGAAGTCCAGGTTAATTGGGGACAGAAAAAGTTCAGGTTCCAATTTAATAATCTGCCTGACTATTTAAAAAATTAATTGATGCCTTTGTTTGTTCATTTAATATTATTTACTGTTTTTTTGTGGCGGTTTTACAATAATAAAATAAACATTAATTTTTATAAAGTCTGTTTTTTATTTAAGGATATTGGGTTTTTACTATTATTTATAATAACAGTATTATAATTTATAATAAAAATAAAGTGGTTTTTCTAAAAAAATTGTTTGTATTTTATTTTTTTGTTCTTTTTTTAAAAAGTGTGCTAAAAATAACAAAAAACAAAATTACTTGACAACTAAAAAAATAATAAAGTCAAAACGAAGAATAGGT